TCCCAGCTGCTTGGGAGGCTGAGGCAGGAGAATTGCCTGAACCCGGGAGGCGGAGGTTGCGGTGAGCCGAGATCGCGCCATTGCACTCCAGCCTGGGTAACAAGAGTGAAACTCTGTCTCAAAAAAAAAAAAAAAAAAAAAGTTAGCCGGGCATGGTGGCGGGTGCCTGTAATCTCAGCTACTTGGGAAGCCAAGCCACAAGAATCACTTGAACCCAGGAGGCAGAGGTTGTAGTGAGCCAAGATGGTGCCACTGCACTCCAGCCTTAGGCAACAGAGTGAAACTGTTTCAAAAAAAAAAAAAAGAGCTGAGAAATTTAAATGTTTTTAAAATCTTGAGTTGATACTGACAGGCGCCATTCAGAGCTGGCAACCCAGGCCCGTCCTGACTTCCCTAGTCTGTATTTCTGTTCCTCTTGTCCCACCGTGAAACCCTAGCTTACAGATTGGCAGCATCCATGTCACGGCCAGCAGTAAACCTAACGCGTCAAGTCCAAATTTTCTTTTCAGTTGTTTTTGTCCTTAGACCACATCCAAGTAAGGAGGAATAGTCAGCTGTATCCAAAAGTCACTGGGATTACTTGCCTTCTTCTATAGATAGGCAATAAGTATTATTACAGTTAGGTTCACGTTTCTGTTCATAGTAAACTTCAGAATTTGCTTTTTTCTCCTACTTTTTACTTGATTTTATTCTTTTAGTAAGTAAAATGTTTATGAGATTGAAAAGTCAAAACTAGGCTGGCTGTGGTGACTCACGCCTGTGATCCCAGCACTTTGGGAGGCCGAGGTGGGTGGATCACCTGAGGTCAGGAGTTCAAGACCAGCCTGGCCAACATGGTGAAACCCCGTCTCTACTAAAAATACAAAAATTAGTCTGGTGTGGTGGCCGGCGCCTGTAGTCCCAGCTACTTGGGAGGCTGAGGCAGGAGAATCGCTTGAATCCGGGAGGCAGAGGTTGCAGTGAGCCAAGATCATGCCACTGCACTCCAGACTGGGTGACGGAGCAAGACTCTGTCTCAAAAAAAAAAGTCAAAACTGTATAAAATAATATACAAAGAGAGGCTCACTTGCACTCCCAGAAGTGAGCGTTCTCCTTAGTTTGTGTCATGCCCTTTCTGACTTTCTTACTCTGCTGCTCTGTCTTGGGTCTTTTCTTGGTATGTATACAGGAAGGGTCTGACACTGTTCTCAGGATCAGCTGTGACCAGAGGAAGCACGCGAGAACAGGTCAGCAGGTCGGAGTTCCTGCTCTTCCTCGCGCTGTTGATTTGCTTAGTTTTTTTTTTCTTTTTTTTTTTTAAGACGGAGTTTCGCTCTTGTTACCCAGGCTGGAGTGCAATGGCGCGATCTCGGCTCACCGCAACCTCCGCCTCCTAGGTTCAGGCAATTCTCCTGCCTCAGCCTCATGAGGAGCTGGGATTACAGGCACGTGCCACCATGCCCAGCTAATTTTTTGTATTTTTAGTAGAGATGGGGTTTCACCATGTTGACCAGGATGGTCTTGATCTCTTGACGTCGTGATCCACCCTCCTCGGCCTCCCAAAGTGCTGGGATTACAGGCTTGAGCCACCGCGCCCGGCCCGATTTGCTTAGCTTTTGTCTGTTGCATGCGAACCTGTGAAAAGGCAAAGCTCTCCGTGGAGAAGGAAGGGGTGTCTGGGACGACCTGCGGGCAGCCTTTCGGGTAGAAGGAAGCAGCTGAGTTGGGTTTGGTGGTCTGTTTCATCGCTCCTGAGCGGAGTGGAGCTGGCCGTGGTGTTCCGGGGCGGGTCTGGAATGCATGGACGTACGGTGGCTAAGCAGAGAGCCTCCTTCTCTGGCAGGCCTGTTCCTGCAGCTGTTCTCTGCCTCACGAGCGCGGGTTTCCTTTCCTTTTTATACGAGATTATCTCGTCCTCATCCCTCCCTGCTGCAGAAAGGTTGCTGGGAACCATTTTTTTTTTCTTTTGAGTAAACATCTTGGGGAAGTTAACGGTTCACATTTGTTGTTGTTCTTTACTTGACATGAAGGAGCTTTTATAAGCAATTAAAACTAGGAGAAAACCCAAACCAAAAATTTCCCCTAAACTCCAGATGACCTCAGTGGGAACCCCTCCAGGATTCCCGGCCTCAACTCCTTTGGTGAATTTAGAGTGACTCTTTATCCTAGTTCCAGACGACGGCTTTGAACTATTGGTCAGCATGGACACATCTCGTAGGTTCCGTTAAATATGGTTATGGGGTCAGGTTTGAAGACCTCATTTGCAAACTGTAGCTTGACAGGAAACTGGGTCTGAAAGTATTTCCTGGAATAACTTGGTCCATTTCTTGAGTGGCGAGTTTTTTCAGTGAAGATCCTCTCCCAGGCAGCGGAGGTGGCGTGGCCTTTGAGCCAGACCCTTCAATAGTAAGTCATCTTGTCAGTTCTTCCTTGGTGGATGGAATCCATTTTTTAGCATGCCAGAGAGCCTTCAAAGTAGAGTAAATAAACTCATAAAAGTGGCCCTGCCTGCTCTTGGCATCTGTGGGATAGAAAGGGCAGCCTGAAGTTTTCACGGTAGAGCTGTTTTCTGTATCTCAGCTGTTCAGTATCACCTCTGTGGCTCTTTACTGCCAATACCAGCTATACTACTGTTTACTTACATTTGTCTTTAAAGATCCTCATTTAAAAAATGTAGATTTAGGCTGGACGTGGCTCATTCTTGTAATCCCAGCACTTTGGGAGGCCAAGGTGGGTGGATTTCTGGAACTCAAGAGTTCAAGACCAGCCTGGGCAATATGGCAAAACCTTGTCTCTATAGAAAAATACAAAAATTAGTTGCAACGTGGTGAAACCTTGCCTCTACAAGAAATACAAAAATTAGCCGGGTGTGGTGGTTTACACCTGTAGTCCCACTGCTCGGGAGGCTGAGGTGGGAGGATCACTTGAGCATGGTAGGTTGAGGCTTCAGTGAGCCAAGATGGCACCACTGCATTTCAGCCTGGGCAACAGAGCAAGACCCCGTCTCAAAAAAAAAAAAAAAAGATTGATATCTTTGGTTAAAAAGGGAGATGAGCAGGTGTTAGAGAAATGTTAATAATTTACTGACATCACACCGACACTCTTCCCCTAAAGTAATTGGAACTACAAAAGGGCTAACCTTCTCAGTATTTCACTCAGCGTTATCAGTGAGGGATACTCTTGCCACCTGGAGGAGACCTCTGCCAAGTATCAGCGAGGAATTCCACTTAGAGGAACGCTGCCCACTGCCATACAGTGATGGCCTTGGCGATATTTGGGATGGCGGTGACCATCGATAGAGCTACAGCTTTTCTGCTCAGCTTTTTAAAATATTCTTGGAAACTAGAGGTTTCTACTGTGTAGTTTGAGGTATGTGAAAAAAAATCCTTAACTTCAGCTTTAAAATAGTGGGTGTTTAGGCTGGGCTTGGTGGCTCATGCCTGTAATCTCAGCACTTTGGGAGGCCGAGGCAGGTGGATCGACTGAGGTCACAAGTTTGAGACCAGCCTGGCCAACATGGCAAAACCCTGTCTCTACTAAAAATACAAAAATTAGCTGGGCGTGGTGGTGTGCGGCTGTAATCCCAGCTACTTGGAAGGCTGAGGCAGAAGAATCGCTTGAACCTGGGAGGCGGAGGTTGCAGTGAGCCAAGATTGCACCACTGCACTCCAGCCTGGGAGAGAGAGAGAGTCCATCTCAAAAAAGGCCAAAAAGAGACCACATCCACTACGTGAGGGTGCAGCAAGAAGATGCCATCTGTGAGGATCATGTCCTTTCCAGACCCCAAGTCCACTCACCAGGCACCAAATCCACTGACCAGGCCCCGAGTCCACTCGCCGGGCACCCGGTCCACTGGCACCTTGACCTTGGACTTCCTGCTCTCCCCAACTGCGAGAAAGAAACTTCTGTGTTTATAAGGCACCCAGTCTGTGCTATCCTATTATACCGGCTTGAATGGATTCAGACAGAAGTAAATTGGTACCGAGAAGTGGGGTGCTGCTGTAATTGATCCTGAATCTGTGGCAGTAGCTGTAGAACAGGGTAACATGTAGAAGCCAGAGGTGTTTTGAGGTTCGTGATAGAAAAGGCCTAGGTTGCCCTGAACAGAATGTACAGGGCTGTTCTGCTGCAGGCTCGGGAAGAAGAGAAGGGAGCTGGAGAGAAAGTCGCTGCTGTCTCGGAGAAAACCTAGGGAGCTGTCAACAGGACTTTGGTAGAAATGTGGATGGTAGGCCGGGCACGGTGGCTCACGCCTGTAATCCCAGCCCTTTGGGAGGCCCCGGTGAGCGGATCATAGGGTCAGGAGTTCGAGACCAGCCCGGCCAACATGGTTAAACCGCGTCTCTACTAAAAATACAAAAAGTTGGCTGGGAGTGGTGGTGGGTGCCTGTGGGTTCAGCTACTCGGGAGGCTGAGGCAGGAGAATCGCTTGAACCCGAAGGCAGAGGTTGCAGTGAGCCGAGATCACGCCATTGCACTCCAGCCTGGGTGAGAGCCATCGTAGCTCGCTACAGCCTCTGCGGAGTAAGCTGGGATTGCAGGCGTGCACCACAACACTCGGCTAATTTTTGCATTTTGTTTTCACCATGTTGGCCAGGATGGTCTCGAATTCATGACCTCGTGATCCACCCACCGTGGCCTCCCAAGGTGTTAGAATTACAGGTGTGAGCCGCGGCACCTGGGCTAGATCGGACCCTCTTCTCTCTGTCTCCTCCAGGGCCGGCTGTGAGGTTGCCGGTCTCATGTGAGAGGAGTCGCTTTCTGCTGGTTTTGATTGAGTTCTCTGGCACGCTGGATGGGATTTGTTCTAACACACACATTCCCCCTGCCAAGGTACACAGAGTCTTTAGACTCAGGGGCTTGTTTTATGATTTTCCCCCTAAACTTAATTTATTCTACATATCCCATGGCAGAGCTAAACGTTTGTGGGTATTTGGCTGTCAGAACGGGTAGATCAGATGGGACCCGCCTGTACTTGCTGAAGAATGGGAGGACCGCTTCCTTCTGGAGAGTGTTTTCAGAGACAGAGCTATGCTCATTCAAGCAAAACTTTTCAACAGACCTATTCATGCATAGGACTTAGGAGATAAATCTGGGGGAAATTTGACCCATGTTTTGATCCTGGGGTAGCAGTCAAGGTTTTGCTAGCCACAGAGAAGGTGTCTTGGGCTGGGTAGAAAACGTTTACCTCCCTTTGCTCGTAACTCTGAGCAGAGCTGTCCTAGAGCGCCATAGGGCACTGTCAGACCCAGGAGACTCAAAGGCTGCCTCTCTTCTTACTCTTTGT